TGTATGTTTGACAAGTCCACGAAGAGACAGGAAACTAAAACCAGCAGTGGAGTTACCCTGAAAGATGGTGGTTCCTGCCTGGGTGGGAAGTGGTGACAAAGACCCTGGAACTGGGCCTGAGAATAAAAACAGAGTTTAAAAGCACAAACTACACGTCTGTTAGAGTATTTGTTTGCAGTTCTCAAGTTAGTAGATTAGCAGCAAATCTGTTAAAGTCCGTGTACTCACTCGCTGTCACGTTTGTGTCAGCAGATGTTTGTGCTGTCGAGTTACTCATATCTGGAGCTGCAAGATAATGGAGCAAGACAAAAAAAAAATTTAATTAAAATCGTCCGCACACAGTCTGCTATCAGAAACAGCTAGTGTGTTGTGACGCCGTAATCTGATTATTCAGGGCCTGAAAGGAACACGTCAGCCCGCTCCGGTGATGTAATGGTTTCAAATCAGTGAACAGGAAAAGAAACAATCCAGCAGTATCTAAAAAATTTTTCCATTATAGGCTCCTTTTCCAGTAGAGTCGAGTTGTCACATCATAAAACTTTGTTACTGTGGACTTCCATTACTTCTTAAAACTGTTCGACAAGAAATAAAATATCTGAAACCTGATCAGTTTTTGTCTCCAGTCTCAATCAATGAGCTGTAAATACTAAAACAAGTGATTATGTGGACTGATTTCTGTTTTGTTCTATGACTGAACTTTGCACAACTATTCTCTGAGCAGAACTACATGCAACATGTGTGACTTTAACATGTTCTCATGTTATTTTACTTTGTTTGATCTTATCACCTTTTGTTCAAGTCTAACTCACCAGAAAGAAACGTGTCCCATTAAGGAAGACCTTGTATTATGTTATTTACAAAACGATTTGAAACCATTTTCACAACAATGTAAACAGCAACAACCAGTTAATAAAGTTTTGTGGCAGTATTGATCATTGTGGTGTCATTGGGCTAATTTGAAAGAAATAAAAAACACTTATTGCGGACAGTGATGTCGCTGAGCTAAACGTCTCCTGCTTGTTCCTCCTCAGATGCTTTTCATGTCAGTGAGGACAGTTTAGGGACATGTCCCCCTCTCTGTCCACTCCACACCCACAGCTGCTCTCAGTAAAACCAGGTGAGGCTCGCGCTCCTCTGCTGCCTTTGTTCTGCTCACTTCTTACCTGTGGGCGCAGCTGACGACGAACACGAACCGGACCGACGCTTCTCGCGAGCTCACGTTGTTCGGTGGAGAAAACTCTGAGTTTTCTTCAAAGTTTCACTTTTGACGCTCCGCGGGGGCGTCAGCAGCAGCGTGCGTCGCGTGGGGATGCAGGCGGTTTTTGACGGCGGTCTCGTGAGCGTTAAAAATGTTTCCGCCCCTCCCTTTCCTCTCTGTGTCTCTGTCAAAGATCGTCTATTAAAAGCGATGGGCGACTCCTGCCTTAGAAATGTGACCCAACAAGTCAAGAGTAAGAATATCAGTTCCTCTACAGTTCATTAATTAATTAATTGAATGCTGGACGGGTTCTTCTTTGTTGAAACGTTTAGACTTTTATCCAAAAGACTTCCTCAGTCCGAGGAGCTGCAACAAACTCAGTCTTATAAACAACACCTTCTCATAGTGGATCAACCAGTTTGTTGTTGACATCCAGAACTAGATGATAAAGGAGGACCATCAGCCAAACAATTGATCGGTTGTGCCCTGTTGGCCGCTTGCTATTCACAGAAGGCTGAAGCAATAACAGCATTGTAAGAGGGGGGCAGTTGGAAAATTGCCCACACATGAAACTGTGCCTGCAGTCAACCTACTTCACATATGGGGAGCAATATTATAGGCACAAACATGGGTGTGTGTACATGGAGGAGGTAGAAAAGAGAGCCTTGACGTCCTTGTCAGGAACACCACCAAGTCATTGGTTCAGGTATGTTGACGACACCTGGGTTAAAATTAAATCTCAGGAAGTTCAACATTTTACTGACCACATCAACTCTGTGGATAAATACATCAAGTTCACACGAGAAGATGTGAAAAATGGCAGGTTGACTGTCTTGGACTGTGAGGTCTGAGTTTCTGATGGAGGACATCTATAAACTGGGGTGTAACGCAAACCCACCCACACAGACCAGTATTTGCGGTTTGACTCCCATCACCTGCTGGAGCACAAGTTAGGAGTCATAAGGACTCTGTTCTCAGTGGGCCTTTGGTTTTCCACAGAAATGAACTGGTGCAACATGTTAGGTGCTGTTGTATATCTTAATGTTGCTTTTGCCTAAAAAAAAATATATGTGTATATATATATATATACAAACTGGATTCCAAAAAAGTTGGGACACTAAACAAATTGTGAATAAAAACTGAATGCAATGATGTGGAGATGGCAAATGTCAATATTTTATTCGTAATATAACATAGATGACAGATCAAAAGTTTATTCTGAGTAAATGTAACATTTTAAAGGAAAAATATGTTGATTCAAAATTTCACAGTGTCAACAAATCCCAAAAAAGTTGGGACAAGTAGCAATAAGTGGCTGGAAAAAGGAAATGGAGCATATAATGAACAGCTGGAAGACCAATTTCTAATTAGGTCAATTGACAACATGTTATAAAAAGAGCTTCTCAGAGTGTCAGTGTCTCTCAGAAGCCAAGATGGTAAGAGGATCACCAATTCCACCATTGTTGCGCAGAAAGATAATGCAACAATACCAGAATGGTGTTACCCAGCGTAAAATAGCAAAGACTTTTAAGTTATCATCATCAACCGTGCATAACATCATCAAAGATTCAGAGAATCTGGAACAATCACTGTGCGTAAGGGTCAAGGCCATAAAACTCTACTGGATGCTCGTGATCTCCGGGCCCTTAAACGTCACTGCACCTCAAACAGGAATGCCACTGTCAGGGAAATAACAGAATGGGCTCAGGAATACTTCCAGAAAGCATTGTCAGTGAACACAATCCACCGTGCCATCCGCCGTTGCCAGCTGAAACTCTACAGTGCAAAGAGGAAGACATTTCTAAGCAAGCTCCACAAGCTCAGACGTTTGCACTGGGCCAGGGGTCATTTAAAATGGAGTGTGGCAAAATGGAAGACTGTTCTGTGGTCAGATGAGTCACGATTTGAAGTTCTTTATGGAACACTGGGACGCCATGTCATCCGGACCAGAGAGGACAAGGATAGCCCAAGTTGTTATCAACGTTCCGTTCAGAAGCCTGCATCACTGATGGTATGGGGTTGCATGAGCGCTTGTGGCATGGGCAGCTTGCATGTCTGGAAAGGCACCATTAATGCAGAGAACTATGTTCAGGTTCTAGAACAACATATGCTCCCATCTAGACGTCATCTCTTTCAGGGAAGACCCTGCATTTTTCAACAC